TAATAATAACTTAAAAAAAGGTTGCTGTGGAATATCATAAATATGCATACATATAAATATAAATATCTTCGATTTAAATTTATGGTGTAACTCTAAAACAAATGAATGTAGAAACAATTTTTCCCTGGTTGTTTATATTTGCATTTTCTATACACGATAAAATTTTTAAAATATTATGATTTGTTTTGAACTGTTTAGGGACATTTTAATTTTCCATTTTTTTTAGATTTTATTCTAAAAATATCAATGAAATTTTATTTGTTGGTTTCGAAAGCTTGAAAATTTAATAGAAGGCTACTAGTATATTGTATCAAAGGCAGATGAAAAATATTAAAAATCCTTAGTCGCAATTTTTTTTTTTTAAGCATTTAAAGTTCAAAAAGTGGGTAAGTGGATGTCGCTCTGCTGTACAGTAGGTTACAAGTGGGTCACTGTATAATGAATGATATTAAATTTGAATTCAACGATATAATATCATTGTATAAGAAAAACGATTCTGAGCGGAGACGGTATGTCAGTCTAGGTTTAAGACAAATTATATACATATCTATGGTATTAAAAAAAAATTGATCTATAATAAATTCCAAATTAATCATATCACGTTATCACAATATCCATTAGGTACTTATAACACGTTATACATCAACATTAATAACAAACCCTGATACTATCATAGATATATAATAGTAAAATTTAGAAGCTTCAAGTAGGTACCCACGAATAATATTATATAATCACAACAAAATAACTAGGTTCTTTAATATGTAATTTCGTCCAAATTTGAACATAAAATGACTATAAAAATAAACTGTGATTGTATATTTTTTAGATTTTTCGGTAAGAGAATTAACTACTTACGTGGAATGTAACAGTGTTACAGTATGAACTATTTATGAGAACCTTTGTTTTAAATTTGCAATCCTTAGCTATAAAAACTGAAAATTTTATAATTTATTAATTACAATGATTGATAATTTTCGAGATTTTGATAAATGTTGTCAAAATTCGATCTTTAAATGCTAATAAAAAAAATTGTGAGTATGTATTTTTAATATATTTCAATTGCTATTGTAACAATATATCAGGAACCTTGTATTAATTTTTTACACTTTTTGACCAACAGATAAAACTTTATTGATATTTATAGAAAAAAAAACTAAAAAAATTGAAAACTGAAAATGTCTGTAAACAGCTCAAAAAAATTCAAAATATTTTCAAAATCGTACAGTGTATAGAAAATGCTAATATGAATATTCAGTGAAATTTTCATGTATCTACAGTTATTCGTTTTTGAATTATTACAAAATAAGGAAATCGCTACATGAGAAATCGAGTGAATATCCAATGTCGTAAAAATATGAACATCAATAAAAATTTAATTTGACTTTCTTATAGACATATGCTACAGGTAGATAATCTTTTAAGGAATCTTGTATTACATTTTCAAATCTTAGATTTAAAAAGAAAAATGTTTACGAATTATTAACTCAAAATAATTTGCTAATTTTCGTGATTTTTCCATATTTTGTCAATTTTTGAACTTTAAATGCTTATAAAAAAAAATTGTGACTTAGGATTTTTAATATTTTTCATCTGCCTTTGAAACAATATACTAGGAGCCTTCTATTAAATTTTCAAGCTTTCGCAACCAACAAAAAAAACTAGTAAGCTTTAGAAAAAAACTAAAAATAAATGGAAAATGAAAATGTCCATAAACAGTTCAAAATAAATCAAAATATTTTGAAAATGTTATCGTGTATAGAAAAAGCAAATATAAACAACCAGTCAAAATGTCATGTTCCTACAGTCATTTGTTTTAAAGTTACACCAAAAACCAAATTCGATTTTGTCAAAAACCGATTTTGGGTAAAAATTCCCGTTTTTCCTTAATTTGTATGTTGTTTTTTCCCGACGCTTGTGAAAACTACTAGGAAATTTTTACTTTTGATCCCCCAAAGTACCAACATGATTCACTTTCCTATCAGAAAAGCTACTGTTGAAGGAAATCCAAGCACTTTTACTGTCCTAAAACGTGATGACAGACACAAAAAAAAAAAAAAAAAACACACATCATTGTAAAATCAATACATTCATCGTTTCACTCAGAATCTAAAATCTCTACCGGAAATTTAAAGTAAATTTTTATGAGCGTTTGAAATTCAAATTTTTACAACATTGGATATTCTCTCGATTTCTCATGAAGCGATTTCCTTATTTTGTTGTAATTCAAAAACGAATAAGTGTAGATTCATGAAAATTTCACTGAAATAGCATTTCCTATACACTGTACAATTTTGAAAATAACTTGACTATTTTTGAGCAGATTACAGATATTGTCAGTTTTCAATTTTTTTTATTTTTTTTCTCTAAATATCAATAAAATTGTAATTGTTGGGTGAAAAAGCGTGAAAGTATAATGCAAAGCTCCTGATTAATTGTTAAAATACAGTTGAAAAATTTTAAAAATACGTAGTCACAAATTTTTGTTATGAGCATTTAAATTTAAAATTTTGACAAAATTTATCACATTTACAATTTAATAATAATTTTTTAGTTAAAAATGTATAACATAACGATACTATATCTTTGAATTGAAATTAAACACCATCCATTACAAAGACCCATTCGTAGCCTACTGTACAGCAGAATGACATCCACTTACCCACCTTTTTTTCTTGTTATTTAATCGTAGGTATATTAGTCATATTGACATATTTTTTAATAATATAACTGGGGGGGACGAGGTGGCCGAGCGGTCTAACGCATCGACTGCGGCGCTGGCAGTCGCGGGTTCGATTCTCGACCACCAGGCGGCATTTTTCTCCGGGCAAGTTACGGTGTCCGGAAAACAAGTGCCGCCATCCCCCCACTCCGGGGCATGGCAGAAACCTACGGGTGCCCCAATAAAAATTCTGCCACCACAAACACACGTGTTTACAAAGCAACAGTTACCTCCCCTACAAACTAACAAAACAGCTAATGGCCATAGTTGCCGGGCTTAATAATCAATGAAAAAAAAAAAAAATAATAATAATATAACTGAAATTAGGTAGGTACACGTATCAGCGTATCACATATTACTACGCATTGCCGAAAAATAATGTTGACTAAATAGGTCAGTAAGTATACCTGTTATATTATTATTATCTTGTATAGTAGGTACTAATGACCAATGCAACGTGTATCGGCATTATCACTTTTTTTTCACGATTTTGAACACTGGCAGCATGCAATAATCAAATACTTTTACTTTTATCTTAATTATCTGGTCATATTATAGGTCATATTATCTGGTCATATTACAACAAAAAAAATTTAAAAATAATTCAAATTTAAATTTTAGTATGCGGTGACAAAAACAAATAATTTACAAACGTTTAACGTCTTAACGATGACATTTTATTGCGTACTTACGTACGGTGCAGGGCACGTGCTAATCTAAGCCGACAACTGCTATATTATAAGCGTGCGAGTATAAAAGGTGTCGGCGACCGTCACTTCAGGGGTTGTGGCAGCCTGCAGTAGCTCTTTATTGCCAAAATAACAATAACACAATAAGCCCATTCGACTACCGTTTATCCCTTTTACAAAAGGGTCGATTTCCGAAAGGCTTCCGTTTGGAGGCAGGTACCTACATGATACTAGACAATTTAATTTAATACAGTACACGCTTTTATTATCACGGTATAGAATATTATATTATATTAGTATACTCAATATCGTTTGATTGTATATTCCCATTACCGCCGTTATTGTCCAACCAGGGATACGTATGTAACTTAAGACTGTGCAATAGTAAAAGTGTTAAGCTGGTTACACACGGAGCGGTTTAGCCGCGCGCGGACGCGGTTTTTATCCGCGGCGGAAAACCGCCTATAATTGAACATGGGTTATTTAAATGGCATATTCATACGAGAAAAACCGCGCCGTTGATCGGCGCGGACGACCGCCTGCGACCGCTCATGTTTAATTTTTGGCGGACGACCGCGTCCGCCAACTATAATTAAACTATGGTTTTCCAATAGACCTGTTCATACAGGCGGTTTGACCGCCGCGATCCGTTGGCGGATCTTGAATTACCATCTATGAATTTAGTACTCATGAAATTATTTTTGAAGTGTTCATTTACTGAGCAGAAAATCTTTTAAATAATATACCTACGCTGTTATTACTTATTAGTAATTAGTATTAGGTAGCATTTTCTTTTTTGTTTAAAGTTTTAAACATGTTTGACACCGAAGATTTTATATCAATGATACAGTCAAATGAGTGTATCTGGAATAAACGTAAGTACTTATTTTGTATTTTTGTATTAGTTTTGCATATAAAATGTTCGCACTGTTTTTCCTGTAAAGGGATAGGTACTAGGAGTAAAAACTCAAACGGCATTATTATGAATATTTATAAAATATCTAAAAAGTATTTTTTTTTGATTCAATACCATTTTAATAATATTATGTTACATTTACTATTGGAAATGTAGAAGAAAGTAGTCATCACGATCTCCAGGCTCTTCATGTAGGATGGACAAACGTAGCTCGAGCATGTTTGATTAATTTCGACGAAATGGAAGATAAAATAAAAACAGAAAAAAGTAAGTGATATATACTTTTCTTTTATTAGCCATTTGAATATATGAAAACAAAATAATATTATAATAATAATAAGAAAATAAAAAAGTATGAATTAAGACATAAATACCAGTGTAATAATTAAACAATTATTAACATACATTATATATAACAATATCATAGAATTATAGATATTAAATGAATGAGGTACATTTTGTTTTGTGGAAGTTTTAAATATGATGGATACATTATATAATATACCAAAAAGTTCAAAGTCAATTAGTTGTACCTAATATAAACAAAGTTTTTGACCTCAAAACAAATAAAATATGCATTAAAACCAATACCTGACCTGTATACTATGATGATTACAAAATTATGATTTTTTTTTTTTAATTTTTAAAGAAATGCATTTCAATTTTTAAACAATTACTTGCCAATTATTTTATTTTGCCAGTCAAGTGCATGGTTTGGGTTATTGACGTAATCTACAAAATACTCCCTGACGTCTTTGGCATTTTTTTGAGCGTTCCCCACTCCTCTTCTTTCTATTATACTCTCCATCGAACAACTCGTGATATCTTCAACATTAGTGCCATCACGGCGACGTACAAAATTATGTAGCACACAACAAGCTTTTGTTATCATAACTGCAGCATCCGGCTCAACCAACATAGTTGTTTGAAAAACCCGCCATTTTTTAGACATGATGCCAAAGGTACATTCGATATATTGACGGGCCCTTGATAAACGGTAATTAAAAATTCTCCTTTTATCGTTTAAGGCTCTACCTGGGAACGGTCGTAGTAGGTTTTTATGGAGAGCAAAAGCTTCATCGGCTACAAGAATAAATGGCTGTGGCGAACCGAGTCCATCGTTCGGTAAACATTGATCAGGTGGAAAGTTTATTTGATTTTCATAAAGTTTCCTACCAAACGTTGATGTTTTGAACACATTACAGTCACTTTCTTTACCAAATGATCCTACATCGATTATTCGGAAGCAATAATTTGAGTCACAAATAGCCATTAGAATCAATGAAAAAAAGTGTTTATAATTATAGTATAACGATCCACTACTTTTTGGGCACTCGATTCGTATATGTTTTCCATCTACCTGCAGAAAATATATCGAGCCATTATAAAACAACGATCTATTATTATCGAATTATTACTAAATTGTTTCATAACTCCTTTCAATTTGTAATGTATATATACAATTTTATTGGTATACATTTATATTATTTTCCCATAATTATTAAAAATTAATAAATCTAAAAAGTATATATAAAGTAACTTACTGCACCGACGGTATTCGGGAACTGCGTTTTTTCAAAAAATCCTTTGGCTATATCCAACCAGTCATTTGTGGTCGGTTCTGCCATTTCTATTGGTTGTAAAATTTGCCAAAAAACTTTACAAGTTTCTATCATGACTATCATGGCTATAGTTGACACCCCACACAAAAATTCAAAATGTAATGCGGAGAAGTGCTGGCCAGTTGCTAAGTATCTGATAACATTATATAAAATCAGAATATATGATTATTATTTTATTCATATCCTTTTATATTTTATCCAACCAACAAAAACTTCATTAGAAATAACTTTACTAATATAATAAATAATTAATTTTTTTAATGGAATGACGTACGATTTTTTTTAAAATTATTGTCAGAAAAAGTATCGACAACCTAGTATTAAATTTTCAATTTTTATCTATGAATATTAATTGGACTGCAAATTTTAGATTCTGAGCGGACCGAATGTATTGATTTTACAATGATGTATTTTGTGTGTGTGTGTGTGTGTGTGTGCGTGTGTGTGTGTGTGTGTGTGTGTACCATCACGGTTTTGGGTACCTAGTAGAAGTGCTTCGATTTCCTTCAACAGTATCTTGTTCGATGGGAAAGTGAATATAGTATTGGTGCATTGGGGAGGACGTTTTTTAAAATGCCCAATAGTTTTCAAAAGCGCAGGGAAAAATAAAATAAAAATTAAGGAAAAACGGTAATTTTTACGCAAAATCAGTTTTCGGACAAAATCGATTTTTGTTTTTGGTATAACTCTGAAAAAAAATTACCGTATTTTCATGAAAGTTTCACTAATTATTAGCATTTTCTGTACACAATAAAAATTTCAAAATATTTTGATTTGCTTTGAGCTGTTTACGGACATATTCAGTTTTAAATTCTTTTAGGTTTTATTTCTATGAATGCCAATAAAATTTTATTCTTTGGGAAAAAAAGTTTGAAAATTTAATACAAGGCTCCTAATATATTGTGAAATGACGTTTGAAAAATATTAAAAATCTATACTCAAAATTTTTTTTTATTATCATTTAAAGTTCAAATCTTGACAAAATACGTAAAAATCAAAATCACGAAAATTTGAAATTATTTTGAATTAGAAATCCTTAAAAATTTTACTTTTAAATCTAAGACTGCCAAACTGTCTTCGCTCAGAATCGTTTTTCGTATACAATGATGTATTGGTAGGAGTGTAGGACATAAAATAATATTTTATGATAATGGAAAATCTAGTTTATTAAAAAAAAAATACTTTTGTAATAGAATCTGAAATATTGTATTATTTTTAGGTAAAAAAAAATAATTTTAAAACTGCTTTCAAATGTTTATATAAATTATACCTTACCTATAAATGATGTTCTTGTTTATTTTTAAAGACACTTCCCATATATTTAAATATAAAACATTTTGTGTTACATTTAATATAATTTATATTACAAACATGTTTTTTTTTTACTAGTAAAAGAGCTAAAATTAAAATGGAAAAATATACGAGATACTTTCAGAAAAAAAGTGTATTAAAAAATCGGGGCAGGCTGCAAACAACGAAACAAAAAATGTATATGCAAATATTTTACAATTTTTAAGACCCACAATGGAAAACAGAAGGTATTAACTAATAAATCATATTTACATATTAACATTTAACAACAATTAACAGTTTGAAAAAAAACTTATAAGTATGTTATAATCCTCAGGACCGAAAGTAATGTTATCGAGAGTGAACCGGAAGAGGAAAACGAAGATGAATCAGAAATAGTGATGAATGTGGAAGATCCTGATGTCTGTGTAGTCGACTCGGAAGTAAAGACACCAAAATCTCTAAAACAAAAGTCTGTCAAAAGACCAAAAATGTCTTTTGAAGACAACTTATTACAAATGTTGAAAGGTAGAAAAGTTGAAGATCCAGTTTCTTCTTTTCTCATGTCGTTGGCGCCACAAATCAGAATGTTAAATCAAGAAAAACAAAATCAAATTTTTATTGAATTCTTGCAGACCATACAAAGAGTTTCTTCTACAAACCCTAACCAAAGTACATACATTCCCCCAACAGCTAATAATGTTGTGAACTGGCCCATACAACACCGCGCCTCAACTTTCTATGACCGTTCTTATAACACATATCCGACCGCAATAAACCATCATCCTAATCATCTTGACATAACACCAGCTTCATCCTCGTTAACTTCTTCAGGACTAGATCCTTACCAATTGGTATCTCCTGCGAGTGATGCCAACCCACATCAATACTATGATTGTCATACAAATTCGTCTCAAACAGTAACAGCTCCTGGTTCTCCATCGACAACACCCTTCAATTATTCAAGACTGAATAACACCAATAAATAAGAAAATACTAATTAGTATGTAAACTTTTGTATTTTGTATCATTTTAAAATGTAATGCATTTTTTAATAATATTATATGAACGAGGATGTTTAAAAGATTTAATTTAATTAAATTTATTTTAATTTGATTTTGATTTAATTTGATTTAATTAAATACATTGTTATGTGATAGATCCACTTAATCACTGTGTTCTATTTTTACATATTTACTATGATATCTACTTACCGCAAAGTGATTGTCAGTCGTTCTTCTGTACTGATTGGAATGCGCATATTTGTTACTTGTTTTGATAAACTTGGTCTTACCAGTAAAATCTAAAAAATAGAAATTATTTGACATAATATGGTTATACAAACGTAAAAATTTTGACGTTTGTAATTCGTATGTGCTTTCTGACTTTAAATATTTATTCGTTATTTATTTACTTACCAACTCATCAAACGATTCTATAGACATCCTGAAATACTTTAAAAATTCTTCAGGGTGAGCCCTCAGTGTCATGAAGTTCACTTGAAACTGACCTTCTTTAATTCGTTTAGTGTTCATCGGATGTACCCAATAGCGCCTTATGGATCTTTTCTTTTTTTCTGCATTATTGAGTTTATTTAAAGCATATGCTACTGCTATGGCTTCGACGTCGTCCAATAAGTCCATAATACGAGTATATGGGTAAGTAAGTATAATATATTATGTAAAACGTGAAAAACAAAATTCAAAGGTCTTACCTCGACAAAGTTTTTAACACGACTGATTAGTGATTATTAATTACTCTGACTCGCTCCAATATTCACTTTACTTTTTGTGAAATTTGACTATTATTAAGTATGACGGGAAGAAAAACCGCGTACGTGTGTAATCAAAACGGCGGACGCGGTTTTAAACCGCCGCGGATAAAAACCGCGTCCGCTCGCGGCCAAACCGCCCCGTGTGTAACCAGCTTTACGTTTATAAAGCTCCAAAGATGGCGGCTGGACCACGCGCATTGTCTCTGTGGCAGACCTACGCGGCGGGAGAGTCGCATTATTATTTCACGAACGGTCCATACAATATTGGTATTGACCATTTAGTAAATTGTCACCCGTGTATTTCAAATACCTAAAATAGATCGAGTATTATCTGAGCGAAAACTTTCTAATCTTTTGTTAATTTTTATTGAATATATCCTGCCGAACAAAAAATATATATAAATATTTTTATATGTACGTATAGAAACGTATAGTATTTATTATGAAACGGTTTTGGGTTTTCTTCAAACCTCAAAATATAAGCACAAATGACAAAATATTGACGTCGAACTTCTTCAAGGCACCGCGAGTGAACGTCGACCGACCGCACCGCGAAATAACTTGACGCTTGACGGCTTTACGTGGCTCGGCGACGGGACGGCGCGCAGTTTTCGCCATTTGTCGTTGTCGTCGTCGCCGACGCCTTTCACGACACGGACGAACAGCTCATATCCCTTCACTGTGACGGCACGTGACTCCGATCCCGTCGTTCAACTCGAACTCCTTTTCCCCTCTCGCGGAGCCGGTGGAATAAGGTCGACTTAGACACTTCTTCAGCACCTTTTTCCGAGCGTCGTTGCACTCGCACCGTGGCGGGTGAACTAAGCGGTCGTTCCACCGTCACCACAGGGCGACCATCGGCGTCTTCCCTCTTAGCGGAATAGCGGTGCACCGCCGCCGGGACGTCTACGTTGATGTTCGGAGGTTACATCGGCCGACGGTTCTTCCGCCCACGACGCGACGAGCAGGCTGTCTCGAAAATCGGCACCGACCGCGAGGCTGCCGTCCATCAACTTCTTCTCGATTTTGGGCACGGTTTTGGGAAATACTTTACTTTGTACGTCAAACTGATGCTTTGGTAATAAATTTCAGATGACAATATTTTATACTAGACGCACGGTACATAATTAGCAATGACTGGAATACCAAACTTTTCAAGATTTGTTTTATTACTATAATAATAACTTAAAAAAAGGTTGATGTGGAAAATCATAAATTTACTACAGATGTGTTTATAGGTCGTTATTAATATGCAATGTTACGAATTACTATAAAATTATTATACCTAGGAACATAAACTATAAACTATAATTAATATAAAAATGGTGTGAAAAATGTATAGTTATTCATCAGTTGAGAACGACTGGGCCGATTTTTATGACATTTTTTGTGATTGTTTGAGTGGTTAACTAAAATCTTAATTCTAATCGATAAATCTAATACGAATCTAATCATAATATCGTGTTAATAATGTGCGCCGTTCTTCAACGGTTTTTAATTTATATATACTGTAATTATACTGTAATATAATATATAACTTAAGTATTTTTAATTCATATTTTATATTATTACTTATATATTTCATCATCTTTCATATTATAATGAGTGAAAAAAATCAAAGTAATATTCATAATTTTAGATTCTGAGTGAAACGATGAATGTATCTAGACACGCGGTAGCGTGTCAAGCCAAGTTCTAGCTAACAGAACTGGCGAGCAGCACCGTGTGTAATATTACACGAACCATTTGGAGCCACTTTTGACCCCCTCATAACTCAAAAACTATTCCACATAAACATGTCAAATTTGGCTCATATATTGAGACTAACGAGATACATATGTGCTCTAAATTTCATAAACACACTTCAAACCGTTATTTAGATATTAACGTCCTAAAATCGTCATTTTTATCACTGACTTACCTATAGATCAAAATTCTAACCCAGTTCCAGATGACCTAGAAAGTTCAAATTTGGCATACAGATAGGTAGTTAGGTAAA